CCGCCCTCGGCCGCCGCGGACACGCGTGGATCCACCTGCACGTGAGCTTAACGGGAAAGCAGCTTCGGTGCCGCAACCTCCCACCTCTTACTTTGGCTAACAAAATGCAACTACCAACCGTGCTGCAGCAGCAAAGTTCATACATTCTGGCTCAGCAAACAGAGCAACACAGAACAAGCAAGCAGCCCCATCCGAGGACTCGAATACTAAAGGAGGGGAGAAAAAACACCACTTTTCTTTTTCAGGACGCAGTGTTCTCTGTATAATGCGAGTCTTGCATTTTTGCTTGCAAGTGCTCATTTCAATCAATTCCAAATCAATCTCATGCTCATAACAAAGCTGCCATAAAATGATGTCCAATAGTCTTAAAACACAGATTTGCAAAAAGCCTGCCTTCCAAAAAAGTTTCCAGACATACATCTTCGATAGTGAGGTAGCTATTTGATTAAAACCTATCTTTAAAACCCTTATTTAAAACAGGCATATAGAGCCTGCTATTCACCAGTACTCAAGTCAAATTGTTTACAGTTCACATCTGTATTACAGTTCACATGTTCAGATCCCCCCATGATTCAATTTACAGCCAGGTGCCCCATACTACAAGGCCACAGTCTCCCAACAGCTAAGTTCCTTACAGAAGGCAACTTACCCATCTCAGAAGAGAGCCCAGAGAGCCAAGAGGCTTTGCTTCCTTGGGTGGCTCTTGCTCAAACCACCAGGTCCTCTCCAGATAAAGCGACCACAAGAAGAGCCAGCTCAACTCTTGGCTTCCTTAGGTATAATTTTATTATGGTGCCGAAATGAGAATTTGGATTAAGCAGTAGAAAAAAGCACAGAAGCTACCAAAAAAAGGGGGGGGGCAAAAAAAGCTTTTCTCACTTTTAAAGCTTGAAGAAAACCTTCACAAACTCATCTCTGAGCACACTGTATATGCACAACACTAAAATCCTCATTCACTGAATATTTTAAAACCAGTACATGCAGAAACTGATATAACCTGGGATTCAGCATATTCTCTCAACAAATATCCTTGGTGACCACATTATTGTCAGGAAGTTCGGGGTAAACTTAAAACATTACAACCTGTTTAATGAAGAAGCCTATGAAATTTCTGGGGCTGAAGAGACTTAGGAGCTTTGCAGGTTTTAGAAGAGCAGAGATGAGAGTGAATGGCAGAGAGACAATGCGCCCCACAAGGGCCTCAAATTACCTTACAGTAAATAGAGATTAAAAGGAATTAAGGCTACCATACTAGCTTTGCACGTATCTCTGTCAAACAGCATTGCACTGCTTAACACATTTCATAAAGATAGACATACAAATTTGAGGTAAATCAAAATGACTCTCTTCAAATTTAGATATGAGGAAAAACAGAATTTTCTTTTTATAAAATTTTACTTTAGATAGTACAAGGATTACAACAATGCAAGCTAAGAACCCTTCCTAAGAAATCATGAGAATTTTGGATATAAATCCATATCCTTCCCCAAGGAGCTGAACAGGTCAGTAAAGTTGTTGTTATAAACGACCGACTTTATGAAAAATGGGACATTGAACAGGAAAGCAGATGGCTCAAAGGCAACTCCAGCTAAGACTCCTGACTACTGATTAGCCAAGGAGGTGATCAGAAAAAATAGCGAGCACCTTGCGTTGTACATCTTGCAATCACACTGAAAATCTGTGGTTTGCAGCCTGGTCCTTTGGATGCTGGGGTGCTGCTACATACATGACCACCCAACCGCTTCATCCAAGCCTCACCATGCTCCATGATCCACGAGACTGGAACGTCTCCATTGGGCTCCATGTGCAGGTGCACATCAAAACCCTCCAAAAGCCAAAGCCAGCAGCGCCAAAACCAAGGTCTGTGCAGCCGGAACAAAGAATTGAATCGCATCCTAATAGGAAGCAGATCAACATTTGGGTCTCTCATTTCAGATTCATTATTTGAAATGATGGAAAACATCCATGAAGGGTAATTATATTTTGTACACAAAATCATGAGGAAAACATATCTAATATATTTATATGCATCACTTATTGATGGAAAACTTTAAATGCAGATTGTTGAATCAAAGCATGATAAAACAGGAACAAGTAATTACACTCTAATGCTTGTATTATTAAACCTCTTTGCAGGCTACAACTCAGCTGAATACGATTTCCTTTAGCATTTTAAATGCACGTTAGGAGTAGATGGCAAGGTCTCCACAGGCAGAGCCATCACCCCAGCTGTCCTTGTGGTCTCGGTTGCTGCTCCTCACCCTTCCCACCACATGCCCTCCTCAACTTGCACACGAGATCGTCTTCAAGGGACAAATTCCAGCTCTCTGGCCAAAAATACTGAGGCTCTAACTCTGCTTATCTTGAGCAGTACAAGCAAGGGTAATGTCAATTGTTGACCAGGCCCACAAGCAGCTCCTGCACAAAAACAAGGACTACTCATGAAATACAAAGGGATGACAGTCAGATAATGAAAAACTTGGAAGCACTGTCAGGAAGGGCTCTCCCTTCTCCTTTCAGCAATGACAAAGGCGCTAACTAATCCACAGTTTAACACCGTTCTAACTCAACAGGTAGCCAAAAGCACTGCCAGCTGTATGAAGGCTTCCTTGAGCTTCTGGATTGCTGGAAAACACAGACCGTTCCTCTCCAAAGATGATCTTTTTATAGTATTTAATGTGCCCCAGGCTTCAGGCTAGCACCCAGGTAAATGCAGAGCTCTGTATCTCCCTACACTGGAATTGCCACCGAGTGCAAGGCAAAGGCAGCGTTTGCACAGAAAATGGATGCACCTCTTGAGGGTCTCTGGCTCCAAGCCAGATACTTCATCCCTCTGCCAATGCCTGCTTCTGTCAGGGAACAACAGCCAGTGAATCCAGACCTAGCTGCACCCTTAACTATCCCTATCCATTAGCTACAGCACCACGTTATCTTTTCAGAATACATTTGATTTTTATACTTTTTAACCATATAAAATCTTCAGTTAATTCAAGCATAGGAAAATCCTCCAGAAGAACCGAGAGCAGCCTACAGTCTACATTTAAGTGCATATTGTTAAGCCATCCTTTTTGACAAGAATGGTTGAACCCATTTGTATGTATAATTACTTCCTTCCTTGATAGGAATTTCTCTAATTCCTTATTCAAAGAGTAACCAGGAGCTTTTTTTCTTTTTAATCGACCAAACACTCTGATATGGTGATATGTAAATCACGCACATCAGCTTCCTAAGACGCTTTCAGCAAGTCTATATGCTAATCAGAATGACATGAACAGTGAGATACATAAGCCACAATGCAAGACTGACTCGTTAAATATTTACACTTCTCAAACAAAAATCATTTGGTAGGAGCGACAACAGAATCTGTAACTGCAGAAAATACAATTAAATAATCAATTAGATAATGTCTGAAGATTACTAAATACTTTTCCATTCTTCAAAGATTTTCAGTCTTGTCAGTAGCTGCTAACTTGCATGCAAACTTAAAATTTATGGCATGGACACACGCTTAAAATTTGGAGCCTGGTACAGACAGATGATTTTTTTCTTATAATGGTGGCTTAAGAAGGCACTCACTCATGGAGAAAGATACAAGTGAAGTCATGAAAACTGTGTACGTTAAATCAAAGTAATAACACTGCTCAAACATTCGGTAAATTTCAGTTTTGTTTAGCTGCTATAATACTGAATAATATACTGTATAATACAAGTACTTCATTTGTATCTCAAATATTTCAAATGTAAATTCATAAATAGTTTTGCATCATACCCACCTCCACGCTTGACCAAGGGAAGTGAAACCCTTTGGCATCCTCAATTTCAGCCTCAAGCGTTTAATACAAATGTATCTAAGTTACATTAAGGAAAACAACTACTGGAAACTCACTACTCCACCATTCATTTCTAACTGGATTGCATTCAAATAACTTTCACAGTCTTCAGATCACGAACAGTACTGTTCTTAAAAATGTAGCAAATATAGCAAAGCTAGCACAGAAGTCACCCTGCTAAATAAATCAGCAAGAGTTCCATGGTCTGCTTTAAATAACTCAGTGACTGGTTTAACATTGTCATATGAACCGAACTAAAAAGGGTTTGGTCATGCCTCATTTAGAAGAAAAGAAAAAGCCTTCTGATCCACCGTATTGTTCAGCGGTGAATCACTGGCACTACACAGCATTTTCCAAACACTGCATCTTACACAAAGGAGTAAGCTAACATTAAAAGTTTGAAAATTATTTCTCATTAAAGCCAGAAACCTAAGGAAGAATCGTTATGTGTTTTTGTGAGCTTAGTGTTTGTAATATACGAGCTTTTGAAAACAATTTTAAATCAAAATGCATATATAGCCAGCATGAATGCTTTCTTTTTTATACAGTGCAATCAACAATGCAATTTTATTCCATCAGAAATCTGTACGCTGAGCAGAAGCAGTACTAGTGTAACTACCATTATACAAAAAGTATAAACTAAATAAATGCTATTTGTTTAAAGTACAATTTTAAAAGTCTGTTTTTTCCAACACTTGCTACTTTGTGGACACTTCTCATTACATTTATTGCTCCCCAAACACCAGCATGGGCCAGCAGTTGAGTATTTAGTTACCTGTGAACACAGCCTGCTTGAAGAGCACTGACCAAGTTGTTCACAGCACAAAAAAATCCATGATTTCTGCAGAGCGAGTTCAATGTTATCAGTGCAAGCAGCACTGAGGACTGCAACTTCCTGAGCAGCTCCTGCTGGATCAGGATGAGCACAAGCTGCTAATTAGCAGTGAGCTGACACTACTACTACTGCTCCTACTACGATTAGGGAAATGAATGGAGGCTTTAATCTCAGAGCCACGCAAGGAGGCTTCTCCAGCGTGTGAGAGATGCTTTCGGACAGAACAGAGGATCTGTCCATTTATGTGATTTACAACAACTCAACTGCTCTGTATGCCCAAAATAAAGCAAGTAATGAATGATTATTGATTATGATTAAAGAATAATTATACTTACAAGCTTCCTCTTCTGGGGAGACTGAGCTCCTTCTGGAAAAAAATAGAGAAGAGAAAAAGAATGAAAACCTGGAGTTAACTTTGGTGCATTTACTTTGTGTATCACTCAGCTATTTATCAGTAAACGGCCAAGGCCAAACTAATGATAAACTGGCAGTTCCTGAACACAGGCTCGGTGTTATCAGGCGCACGGGAGAGGTGAATCTGCCCCCCTCACAGCGCAGCAGCCCGGGCTGGGAAGCTGGAAAGCGGCATTGCCTTGGCAGTCCCGAGGCCACAAGCACTCCGTGGAGACGCACAGCGTTGAGACCCAAGGCCAGGCGCAGGCAGGCGAGGCAGTGGCGACTCCTGTCCTACCCCCTGCCCCTCATGAGCATCACACGTGAGCATCGCTGCCAGCGGGGCGGCCCCTTCCTGCAGCCTCCCCACAGGGAGAGGCTCGTGTGGCACAGAGGCAAGGCCTGCGGCACACCGCTCCCACATGGAATCCGCAATTCCCACCGCCCGCCGCTTCCCGCGCGCGGAGGCCGCGGCCTGCGCTTTAGCAGGGAGCCGCTAGGTGGGAGCCGGCCCCCGCGCGGCAGGAAGCGCAGGAACACCCTGTCCGCTAAGCACTGCAAATAACGCCCTGCCCTTTCTTTTTAATGCATTTTTAATGTATCTTAGTACAATAGGCATAACTATTCAAATATACGAAATAAAAATTAATTTCCTTTGCGCGCTCGCAAGGATGACACATCAACGCCCAACACAATCAGTGCACGAGGAGAGCACCAAGCCAGCAGGACCTGGAGAAGCTGCCCGGCTGCTCTCATTGCAGCCGCTCACAAGAGGGCAAAGCAAGTGAAAGGCCAGTTTCCATTTGTCATTCCCAGGAAACTGATCCCTGCGTTGTTCTTTTCTTCCCCAAAAAGAAAAAAAAATAGTGCAAAGACATCCCCAAATTCTGGTACCCTCTTCTCCTTAGTAAGTTATGGAGTACATGTTGATTTAAGTGATTAACGGTGTTATTTTTGGACTGTCAAAGGTTGGGTTGTTAAATAACATACTGGATATTATTCCAAATTCTACAAAGGTACCAGAAAGTTCTAGAATGCTAGAATAAAAAAATTTTAAAAAGGGGGGGGGGAAATATGGAAAACCTACAACATTGTTATTATTTTCAAGTACGAGTTTTCTACAAAATGAAATTCCAGTGCACTTTAACAGTACCGAGTAAATTGCATGTGTGAATTATCACAAGCCTGACAGCTTACAGCATCAAGAAATAAATTCCCGTTATCAGACAAACTTGTCAAGATCTAATCAAAACATTTCAAGCATGTAAGATAATAAATCATTAGCATCTATAACAGGTTGTGTGTTTTATATTCTAAAAAGGTATTTCTTCTACTCTCATCTGACAGAAAGACTAAGAAGTCTAAACAGCAACGAAAGCTTTTTCCCACGGAAAATGGATAAATAGTATACAGTAAATAATTTGATGTTATCTGTTGTATGTGTTTGTATATATTTGTAGCATATTGCTTACATCATGAGGGCAGACTTAGTTAATTTCTCCATTTTAAGAACAGCCCAATGTAACAAAAGTCTACTATATTTTTAGTTCAAAGGATACTTTTTTCCATTCATTCATATTTCCATTCATTCCAAAACTGCCAAACCCAGAAATTTTCAGAATGCATCTTTTAAGCCTTGAAATTTCATGGTGTTGGCTGGAAAAGAATTGTGACCTTTAAATCTCTTTATCTACCTTCAAGCCTATGAGCCTTTAGGGTTCATGTTTACAAGCTTTACTCCAGTCATTAGGACTGAAAACTCACTTAACAAGACAACCAACACTTGCTGCAACAGCAGCGCATCCATAATGGTGACTCTGAGGTGCTTGATACTACGGGAATCACGATGCAAGAACAAGGGTTGGCAAACTATGTCCTCTCTTGTATTGCACGGCTGTTTTACTCGTGTAATGAGCTTTAATACTTCCTATAATCAAACTATTTCAGGATTAAACAAAAGGTTAAAAAAAAAGTATTTCTTGGCTTAGTTCACCAAATCATTTTTCAAAACCTTAGGAAGGAAAGAAGTATTTGTAGAGGACGCGTCAATGCAACTGAAAGAGAGCTTATCCCCTCCGCGCAGCAATGCTCCCAGCCCGGAGCTGCGCCCGGCGAACGCGGCGCCGCTGCGGCATCAACAGGCGGCCGCTCAGGTTTAACACCTCCCTGCTCTCGACAAAGACCACAATCCAGGCAATCCATTCTTACACCTGTTGTTCCACTACACTTCATTTGCCCTCAGCCTGAAAATGCCCTTCCCAGAGCCCTGCGAGCCATTCCCCGCACTGCTGCCCAGGCCAGCAGCACCTCTCCTGCCTCCTGGAGCAATCCCAAGCTCCCTCCTCGCAGGGCTGCTCTCCCAGGGTACAACTGCTAACAGGGCTTCCTAAAATCCTCCCAATGTAGCCAGGGCTGGAGGGGCCGATGCAAAAGCATCAGAGCTGGAAACTAAGGGCCTGTGAGCAGCATGCCTGCAGGCTTGTTTTTTCTGGCCCAAGAGTGAGTTATGGACTAAGGAAGAAGAGGGGAAGAAGAAAACTTCCCAGGGAAGAAGAAAGAAAATGCCTGGAAGAGGAAACAAGGAGGGAGCAGACGGCACTCGGAGCTGAGGACCTATTTCAGGACACTCGTTTGGGGATGCTTCAGATAGCAAATGGTCAACCAAGCGCTGTGCCTTGACTTGCTTCCACCCACTCAGGGGAGTTTGGCATTCCTTGTCCATGTGTCCACAGAAAAAGAAATCCCATTTAAAGAGGTAACTAATCCAACACTGCTGAGCTGTGACTAACTAGTCTGAAATACTGTTTACAAGGGGCAGCAATAACCCTTTAAGTAAAAATACTAGCTTATCCTGAGAATGTTTTTCATTTAAGACCTCCCTTCTGGCGAGAATAACTCATGAATACACAAGATCTCAGTCTGCCTCTTCTGACAGCAGCACCTGCCTCCCTGAGCACTTCTCCTGCCAATACCTGTACATAATTTTTATATATATATATATATTAGTATTATTACTTCAGCCAACCCTTGTTCCATCTGCTCTGTGGGTCAACAATATAACTCCTAAGGGGGGAAATTAACCTTTTGCACTTAATTTATGCAAAGAGATAAATAGCATAAGGATGCAAAATTTCAGAAAGAAGTTTGTCACGCATTATTCACGCAGAAGTTTCAGAAGTGGGAACAAATAGTTACTGTCACAGATCTTCCATCACTGAAAAACAAGAAATGTATTAAAAATCTTGCAATAGTTAAATGACAGGAACAGACTGCACTGAAAGGCTTTTTTTTTTTTTGCCCAAGTTCCATATTTTGAGGCATAATTATTAAACGTGCAACCTGATCTCTACATGACAAAAGCAGCAGCAGATTTTCAGACAACTAGTTAGCAAACGAATTTTAGGAAAGAAATGTAGCTGCATGGAATTTATAAAAGGATGGTTCTAATATTCTCTTTCAGCCCCTTATATTTTTTCCCAGTTATCATCTCCAATTATGCAGACCTAAAAGCAGTGGGCACCATGACACCGTGGCTCAGGTTCCATAACAGGCCTGGCTTCTCCTCAGCCCTATCATTTTCTTGTGTAAGGTATATTTGCTATGGGAGAGGCAGCGAGAAAGCTAAAAGTGAAAATATATGGGCCAGTTTAAGCATGATTTGCCAGTTTATATGATATACACAGTGAAAATGTATTCCACTGTGATCTTTTGTATGTGGAAACTGTGTTTTAAAACGGAGTGTTTCAAGGAGCAGAAAGAGTGCTGGCGTTTTTCTGAATATCCATATGCATGCTCTATGATATAGAAATAAAACCTGGCAATTTATTTCATTGACCTGCAAGACAACCCACAGCTTTTGAACAGAAAGTGCAAAGAAAACAGGAGCCCATCACTCAGGATTGTCACTTTCCCTCAATCTTGTAATTTGTCCTTGAATATGTAAGCTGCACATATGGCACAGACCCACAGGCAAAGTTGGATGCTAGAGCGCGTGCTGATGGCAGCTCGAACGTCGTCCTTTCAAATTAAAGCGAGAACCATCCCTCCCGTCAGCAGGGCCGGTGTTCCTGCCAGAGCAGACGGCCTGATGCCTGAGACCGCCTCTGACCTTGCCTTCCTTGCCGGGCACCTCACCGTCATACCCGTTGGGACAATAGACAAATATTTTTACAGCTATAACAGTAAATACATCTAGTTAGTAAGTTAATATTTCACAGATGATGAAATTCCACTGGCACTCATTGACCTAGCACCACACAATCAGGTTTTAATTCTTTTTTTTCCTTTGTTGACTTTGTTTGCTTTAGGGTATACTACCAACCAGCAGGGGATTAATTAAATCTCTTTCCATATATAACCATTTGCATTACAGAAATGATATAATGAGGGTTACAGTCTCCCAATTCTGATGGAAAATACAACGTGGCTGGGCAAAGACATAAACTGTAATCCATCCATCAGATTAACAGGAAAGAATTTTTCATGGTGATTAAAAAAAGCATCCCACACTAAGCTTCTCTTTCTCCTATCAGAATCTGTTAAGAAATATAATTTCCGTCCTTTCACTGTATCATTGTAAACGGTATTAAAAACAGTACCTTTCAATTTCTCTCTCAAGAAATGATTACATCTGAACTTATTTGCCAAACTCGTTGGCAAAGAATTTTAAACAGCAGCACTAACCCCATGTCTGTGTTGAAGGTCAGATTAATCCAAACAACATACTGCGGATATTATTTTCTATAATTTAGAAACTAAAGTCAGAATCATATTGTTAGATCACCTGCTGAACTTCAGAAATGCTTAAAATACTGAAAACTAAGATCCCAAAGACTTTCCAGTCTCTTTCAAAATATTGAGCGGATACAGAGTTGAATTCCCAGAGGCTGCTCCGTGCTGTGCAGAGCTGATACCTGCAATCGCATTGAACATAAATTACCTTGGACAAAGTAAGCCTAGTATTAAGCATCTTGC